TTGACCCATTTTCGGGTGGGACTGACTTACTGGATGTGACCGTTCCGTATAACACATATCCGATACATGCGCCCAAAGTTCGCGTTACGCGTTCTACTTTATGCCATGGTTTTACTATAGGACTTATGGAGTTTGAGGGAGGCTGTTTTGCTTGTAAATGTAATGGCCCTTTTAGATTGTTTCCCCGCAAGTCTGAACCGATCGGTTCTGTCAAGATGCCAAAGAAGTTCTCTTTTGGAACTTTTTCTAACGGAGTGGTGGTGATGAGAGTTCTTTTAGAAACCTTTCTCGTGTTGATTGATAACCAATAATTCTGTACTATTAATTAATCTTGAATTTTTGACCTTTTAAAAAGGAATTTGGATGATTAATACTACCAATCCTCAAGGCAGGTGTGTCCAGCAAGCAAGATTCGTTCGGTTGGCGTATTGATGGTCCATGATCCAACCGTTCAGCTTTAATACCCCATGGGCCCTAGCGACGAGAAAATGCCGTCTCGCTCCCGTTTTTTTTTTCGCACACCAGGTGTGCGGTGTGCCGTAACGACCCGACCCGCGTCGGGTTTTTTGCACCTGGGAGTTTCAGGCTATGAGACCTACTGCTCGCTCGGTTTTTCGCACCCAGGGTTGTTGGGCGGTGGGAACGACCGCCCACTCAGTTTTTCGCACCCAGGATTGCTGGGCGGTGGGAACGGCCGACCCGCTCGGTGTTGACCTAGAGGTTCCTAGAGAACGTCCCTAGGTTTCTTTGAACGGTAGGCTCATATTAGCCAAATGCTTTGTGCGCAAGATCCTATCATCTGTACTGAGGCCATGAAAGACAGAGCGGTTGAGGCCAAAGGGCCGAATGTGAAGGCCGAATGGCCTAATACTTGAGGCCATGGAAGGCAGAGCAATAGATGTCGGATGGTCGAATGCCGAGCAGTCGAGGCTGAAGGGGCCGAGCACTTGTGAGACCGAATGGTCGAGTACCTGTAAGGCCGAATGGTCGAATACCTGAGGCCTCAATGCCGAATACCTTTGAGGCTGAATGGTTGAATACTTGTGAGGACGAATGATTGAGTACCTTTGAGGCCGAATGGCCGATTACCTGCAAGGTCGAATGACCGAGTACCTTCGAGGCCGAATGGTTGAATACCTTTGAGGCCGATTGGCCGAGTACCTATAAGGCCAAATGGTCGAATACCTGAGAGGCTGAATGTTGGAACGCTTGAGGCCATGGAAGGCCGAACGGTTGAGGCCGAGTGGGCGAACACCTGCGAGGCCGAATGGCCGAATGCTGGAACAGTTGAGGCCATGGAAGGCCGAACGGTTCCGTCAAGGGAAGCACTTAATCGAACGATCATTTGAGTACGCCCATGTTGACTTGTGGGGGCCTGCAGGAACTCAGACTCATGGTGGAGGAGCGTATTTCCTGAGGATAATTGATGATTTTTCAAGAAGAGTATTTTATGTTCTGAAAAATAAATCTGAAACCTTTCGGAAATTCAAGGAGTGGCATACACAGACCGAGAATCAATGGGGTATAGGCGAAATATCTTAGAACCTGATAATGGGTCTGGAGTTTGTTTAAGATGAATTTAATGAGTTCTGCAAGGTTAAAGGGATAAGGAGGCACAAGACTGTGGTGGGAACTCCTCAACATAATGGTTTGGCTGAAAGGATGAACAGAACAATTCTGGAGAGGGTTCTGCTGCTTGGATCAGGATTGTCAAAGGCTTTCTGGGGAGAGGCTGCCAATACAACCGTATACCTGATTAACAGGAGTCCGTCTTCGGCCCTTAACTATAAAACACCAATGGAAGTTTGGAGTGGATGATTGGCTGACTACTCACACTTGAGGGTGTTCGGTTCCTTGGCGTTCGCTCATGCCAAAGGAGATAAGCTGGACGCCCGAGCAGTAAAAAGTTTATTTTCTTGGAATGCTAGAAAGGCGTTAAGGGATACAGGTTGTGATGTTCTACTCGAACGGCCAGTCTATCATTAGTAGGAATTTCGTTTTCGACGAAACTAGAATGGCAATGCCATGTTGAAAATCCTGGATGTGAGAAGAAAACGCTCGTTGACGTGGAGCATACTATTGATGGGGACGTTCGATCATTGACTGAGGAAGACCGAACGGGTGAAGGGCAAGACAAAAGCGTTCGATCATCAGAGGAAAATTGAACGGGTGAAATACGAACAGATCTTGGTGATGAAACATATGGTATATCTGGCGATGTGAGTTACCCAAGAGGAGCTGGTGATGAATTGAGGAATTATCAGCTTGTTCGTGATAGAGAAAGGATAATATCTAAGCCAACCAAACGGTTTGGAGAGGCAGATTTAATTTGTTATGCCTTGAATGCTGCTGAAGATCTTGAAAGCTCGTGTGAACCGAGAAGTTACAAGGAGGCTCTTCACAACAACGATCGACATCTTTGGCAGGGTGTTATGGAGGAAGAGCTGGAGGCGTTGAGGAAAGAATACACCGGAAATTGTAAGATCTGCTCAAAGGGAAGAAGGTTGTAGGTTTAAAATGGATCTTCAAGAAAAAGGAAGCTATATCAGGGGGTGAGAAAGCTAGTTACAAAGCAAGACTTGTTGCCAAAGGCTTTACTCATATTGAGGGTGTAGATTATCATGAGATTTTTGCTCCTTTCGTGAAACACTGTTCGGTCATAATTTTAATTGCGATAGTTACTCACCGAAATTTGTATCTAGAACAGTTGGATGTGAGAACTGTGTTTCTGCATGGAGACTTGGAGGAAACAATTTATATGAAGCAGCCGGAAGGATTTGCTGTGGATGAAAGAGTGTGCCTGTTACAAAAGTCTCTTTATGGCTTAAAGCAAAGTCCAAGAAAGTGGTACAGAAAATTTGATGATTTTCTGATGAAGCTAAACTTCAAGCGGTGCAATTATGATGACTGCGTGTATATTTTGCATCGTGACAGTGAAGTTCTGTATCTTCTTCTATACGTGGATGATATTCTGATTGCTAGCAGTGACAGGAGCATGATTCATGAGATGAAAGCAAAATTGGGTGGTGCTTTCGAAATGAAGGAGCTCGGAGAAGCAAGGAGGTTTTTGGGCATTGACATAATAGAAATAATCTGAAGGGACAATTTGTTTTTATCTCAAAAGAGTTACTAATAAGTGATTCAAAGGTATCGAATGGTTGATCCACCCCAACTGGCACACGATCTGGTCACATTTGAAATTCACACCAAGAGCAATGCTGAAGCGGGCTGAAGGAGGGACAATGGAATCTGTTCCATTGTCAGCAAGTGGGATTTGGGAGCATCATGTATGGCATGGTCTGCACTAGACCTGACCTAGCGCATGGGGTAAGTGTTCTCAGTCGGTTTATGATTGATCCTGGACAATGTCACTGGGAAGCGTTGAAGTGGATGCTTAGATACGTACGGGGGTCTCTTGATACTGGATTACTCTTTCAGAATAATTTTCATGGTGGAGATTTATTGAAGGATTCGTTGATTCAGATTTTGCCGGGTGCTTGGACACAAGGAAATCTCGTTCGGGATATGTGTTTACACTGTTCGGTACTACTGTAAGCTGGAAGTCTACATTGCAATCAGTTGTTTCCCTGTCAACCACTGAAGCTGAATATTGTGCGCTCGCTGAAGGGATAAAGGAAGCACTATGGTTAAAAGGCTTGATTTGGGAATTGGGTATTGATCAAACGACCGTCCATGTTCATTTGACAGTCAGAGCGCCATACATTTGGCGAACCATCAGGTTTACCATTCTAGAACAAAGTATATTGACGTCAAGCTGCATTTTGTCAGGAACATTGTGGAATCCGGTGATGTCCAAATCTGCAAATTGGCCTCGAAGAAACCTTGAAAAAAAAAAGGTTATTTGAAAACTTAAGATATCTCATTTATTTTATTTTTTCATTTTGAAATTATAATACATATTATTATTAAAGTGAGTTGTAGACTATTCTTTTTCTTCTCCTTTCACGACCTAGAAAACAACGACTAACTACAAGATTTCTTTTATAAATATATTATCAGACCAAAATATTTATCAATTTAATTAATATTCTCTACAAAATCTAATTCCATCAACATATATTGTCTACACTCAAAATTTAGTTTGAGAAGGAATCAAATGTTATATCCTAACATGACATTTCTTTATCTGTTACAACATGAAAAATCTTCACTTACTATATGTTTTGATAGAGATTTGTAGGATGTCATTCGGTTGTACTCTGGATGGGGGAGATACTTGCGAAAGACACTTCGATGCTCAAGTTAGGAGCGGTTTTATGAACTGTTTATCACAGTTTAATATTTAAGTCCTGATCAGACGTAAGTAGATCGCAGTGGAGTCTCAGTTGAACATACTTGGCTTTTGGCCCTGTTAGTGTATTTATAAGTGTTTCAAAAAACAACCTTACCTAGAAATCCGGTTAGTTACTCATAAACAGCTTTATCTTAACCACTTATCAACATCTTCAGATCTTCAATCAGATATTCTTGATTATTTTATTCTTCTTTGATTATTTTATCTTCTGCTGGACTACTGTCCAATAGTACCTTAAGTGTTGGCCCAATTATGGCCCAACACTATTTAACGCGATTCACTTTAGTTGATGCGGTTGATGATGGCCCGGTTGACCATTGTCATGGTGGTGACCGAACGACTTGTGATGTTAACCGTTCGGTATACATTATATCCGATACATGCCCCCAAATTCGAGTTAAGCGTTCGGCTTTAGCTATGTTTAACTATAGGATTTATGAGTTTGAGGGAGGCTGTATTTGCTGTATTGAGTAATGCCCTTTTAGATTGTTGTTCACCGAGCAAGGCTGAACAGATCGGTTAATGGCAAGATGCTCGAGAAGTTCTCTTTTGGAACTTTTTCTAAACTGACTGGTGGTTGATGAGAGTTCTTTTAGAACCTTTTCTCGTGTTGATTGGTAACCAATAATATCTGTACTGAGGAATAATAATTGAATTTGAACTGTAAAAAGAATGTGGATGATTATACTAACCACTTCTCAAGGCAGCTTAGCCAAGCAAGCAAGAACGTTCGGTTGGCGACTAATGGTCCATGATCACACCGTTCGACTTTTAATACCTAGGGGCCCTAGGCGACGATAATGACAGTCTCGCTTGGTTTTTTCACAGCCAGATGTGCTGTGTGGCGGGAACGACTGACCCGCTCGGTTTTTTGCACTTGGGAGTTTCAGGCGACGAGAACGACTGACTCGCTCGGTTTTTCGCACCCAGGGTTGCTGGGCCGTGGGAACGACCGCCCACTCAGTTTTTCGCACCCAGGGTTGCTGGGCGACGGGAACGACCGACCCACTCGGTGTTGACCTAGAGGTTCCTAGAGAACGTCCCTAGGTTTCTTTGAACGGTAGGCTCACATTAGCCAAATGCTTTGTGCGCAAGATCCTGTCATCTGTACTGAGGCCATGAAAGACAGAGCGGTTGAGGCCAAAGGGCTGAATGTGAAGGCCGAATGGCCTAATACTTGAGGCCATGGAAGGCAAAGCAATAGATGTCGAATGGCTGAATGCCGAGCAGTCGAGGCTGAATGGGGCGAGCACCTGTGAGACCGAATGGCCGAGTACCTGTAAGGCTGAATGGCCGAATACCTGAGGCCTCAATGCCGAGTACCTTTGAGGCTGAATGGTTGAATACTTGTGAGGACGAATGATTAAGTACCTTTGAGGCTGAATGGTCGATTACCTGCAAGGTCGAATGACCGAGTACCTTCGAGGCCGAATAGTTGAATACCTTTGAGGTCGATTGGCCGAGTACCTATAAGGCCGAATGGTCGAATACCTGAGAGACTGAATGCTGGAACGCTTGAGGTCATGGAAGGTCGAACGGTTGAGGCCGAGTGGGCGAACACCTGTGAGGCCGAATGGCCGAATGCTGGAACGGTTGAGGCCATGGAAGGCCGAACGGTTCGATCAAGGGAAGCACTTAACCGAACGACCATTTGAGTACGCCCATGCTGACTTATGGGGGCCTGCAGGAACTCAGACTCATGGTGGATGAGCGTATTTCGTGAGCATAATTGATGATTTTTCAAGAAGAGTATGGATTTATGTTCTGAAAAATAAATCTGAAACCTTTCAGAAATTCAAGGAGTGGCATACACAGACCGAGAATCAATTGGGGTATAGGCTGAAATATCTTAGAACTGATAATGGTCTGGAGTTTGTTTAAGATGAATTTAATAAGTTCTGCAAAGATAAAGGGATAAGGAGGCACAAGATTGTGGTGGGAACTCCTCAACATAATGGTTTGGCTGAAAGGATGAACAAAACAATTTTGGAGAGGGTTCGGTGTATGTTGCTTGGATCAGGATTGTTAAAGGCTTTTTGGGGAGAGGCTACCAATACAGTCGTATACCTGATTAACAGGAGTCCGTCTTCGGCCCTCAACTATAAAATACCAATGGAAGTTTGGAGTGGACGACTGGCTGACTACTCACACTTGAGGGTGTTCGGTTCCTTGGCGTTCGCTCATGCCAAAGGAGATAAGCTGGACGCCCGAGCTGTAAAAAGTGTATTTCTTGGATATGCTGAAGGAGTTAAGGGATACAGGTTGTGGAGGTTAGACTCGAAATCGTCCAGGCTGATCATTAGTAGGGATGTCGTTTTCGACGAAACGAGAATGGNGGCCATCCCCATTGCGGCTAGTTTCTTCTTGCTTACCACTTTCACTGCCACGCTTTGCCCCGTGCTGGTGTTACGCGCGTGGTACACCTTCGCGAACGCGCCGCATCCTAGGAGCCTTCCCACCTCGTATTTTTCAAACAAAACGGTGCTCTCCGCCGCCGCCGCCGCCTGTTCAATTTCCGGCATTGGTTTCACTAAGACTATCGTGCTCAGCACGATCTTAATTGGGGGATTGTTGTAGAGAGGTTGAAAGGGGATCTGGAAATTTCCCGAAAATTGTTGATGAAAGCTTTCGGGATTGATTTCCTTTTCTGCTGTTTTGGTTGGTGGAAGCGTAATTGGAAGGGATCGATTAAGTTATAAGGAAACGAGGTTTTGCTGGCACTGGCTGTTTGAGATGTTTCACGAAGAAACTGCTTTGGAACTTCGTTGGAAGATTACGTTTATTAGTTGGTTTGGTGGTTATTAATGTCTCTACTTACTGAATGGGGTCTCAGTAGTCTATGTATTTCTCATTATTTAATGTGTTCAGAGAAACAAAAAATAATTTGTTGTAATTTTTGTACTTTTGTAACTTCCATATACCTGTTCTATCTTTTTCAAAGTAATTTAGATTATATAAATAATAAGCGATAATGTAAAATAACGTTAGAAAATAAAAACTGAAACATTTCAAAAATTTAAATATAAAAAAAAGAAAATGAACTATAGATATTGGAGGAAAAATATGCCCCACCTTTAAATCTTTTTCCAATATTTTTTTATCTCTTTGAATAAGATATTTTATTAATTATCTGATACATCAGTTATATATCTCTACAAGAAACTTCTAATTATTCAAGAAATTTTAATTAAAAAATAAATATTAAAATTAATGAGGTAATGTCTCATTAAAATTGGAAAAAATGAGTAGTGATAAATTATATTAAAACTATGTTCTCTCTGAACATTAAATGAATAAAAAATTGAAATAGGAGAATAAAAATAAATAATTGCATAAATATTAAAAGTAGTTTATAAAATAATAAATTTAATTAGTTATCTTAATAAAAATGTAAAGCAGGTGGTTTTAATGACACGCGTGAAGGGCGCGTGTGTGGTTGGAGTTGGGAGACCGCTAGGTGGATCCATTGCTTGAATGGGAACGTGATTCCCCTTTTCTTTTCAGCAGTCGTAGGTGTTAACTATTGCCATACACGTGGGCGGTGGCGATGGGACATGAGATTGACTTTAGCAATAGGATAATGCCACGTCGGTGCCGGTTTTACCAAAATAGTTGATTTTTTCTCTTGTACAGTTGGGGGCGCTTTGAGATTGACCTTTAATATGTTGAGATTTCTTGCAAAGATTAAAAAAAGAGTTTACCAGTGTTTTTGGACTCTTTCCTTGAAACGAGTATATTTTTAAATTTTGTATAAATAATAATGTTCAGTCTCTCAGAAAAGAAAAGCATTATGTGGTTTTAAAAAATAAAATAAAATAAAATTGTAGGACGTAAGAATGATTCTCAAAAACTGAGAATATACTTTAAAAAGGCGAGATACTTTCAAAATACATTACGATGTGCAATGGAATCAAATGAAATGCGTGTTCATGGTTTCTCTCAAAGGGATATTTTGACACACGCAAAAAAAAAAGGTTATTTGAAAACTTAAGATATCTCATTTATTTTATTTTTTCATTTTGAAATTATAATACATATTATTATTAAAGTGAGTTGTAGACTATTCTTTTTCTTCTCCTTTCACGACCTAGAAAACAACGACTAACTACAAGATTTCTTTTATAAATATATTATCAAGACCAAAATATTTATCAATTTAATTAATATTTTCTACAAAATCTAATTCCATCAACATATATTGTCTACACTCAAAATTTAGTTTGAGAAGGAATCAAATGTTATATCCTAACATGACATTTCTTTATCTGTCACAACATGGAAAATCTCCACTTACTATATGTTTCGGTAGAGTTTTGTAAGATTGAGAGACTAATCTTTTCTCACGTGTCTTCCTTGTTTTCGAACGTCTGGATCGAGTGTTCCGCTCGCTTGAATTCTGGATGTCGTTCAATTGGATTCTGGATGTCGCTCGATTATACTCTGGATGTCGTTCGGTTGTACTCTAGATGGGGGGAGGTACTTGCAAAAGACACTTCGATGCTCAAGTTAGGAGCGGTTTTATGAACTGTTTATCACAATTTAATATTTAAGTCCTGATCAGACGTAAGTAGACCGTAGTGGAGTCTCAGTTGAACATACCTGGCTTTTGACCCTGTTAGTGTATTTATAAGTGTTTCAAAAAACAACCTTACCTAGAGATCCGGTTAGTTACTCATAAACGACTTTATCTTAACCACTTATCAACATCTTCAGATTTAATAAGATATTCTTGATTATTTTATTCTTCTTTGATTATTTTATCTTCTGCTGGACTACTGTCCAATAGTACCTTAAGTGTTGGCCCAATTATGGCCCAACACTATTTAACGCGNAGTGGATGCTTAGATACGTACGGGGGTCTCTTGATACTGGATTACTCTTTCAGAATAATTTTCATGGTGGAGATTATATTGAAGGATTCGTTGATTCGGATTTTGCTGGGTGCTTGGACACAAGGAAATCTCGTTCGGGATGTGTGTTTACACTGTTCGGTACTGCTGTAAGCTGGAAGTCTACATTGCAATCAGTTGTTGCCCTGTCAACCACTGAAGCTGAATATTGTGCGCTCGCTGAAGGGATAAAGGAGGCACTATGGTTAAAAGGCTTGATTCGGGAATTGGGTATTGATCAAACGACCGTCCAGGTTCATTGTGACAGTCAAAGCGCCATACATTTGGCGAACCATCAGATTTACCATTCTATAACAAAGTATATTAACGTCAAGCTGCATTTTGTTAGGAACATTGTGGAATCCGGTAATGTCCAAATCTGCAAAATTGCATCTGAAGACAACCTTGCAGATACGCTGACTAAGTCGCTTGCTAAAGAGGAGTTTCTGAAGTTGTTGTCCAGGATTGGTTTTGTACCGCTCGGTTTGTAATTTGTGTATCGTTCGGTAATTTTGTAATTTTTGAGTCTAGGTGGAGATTTGTTAGTTAGACTCAGCTTTTACTTTTGACCGTTCGGTTTCTTGTTGTTAACCGTTCGGTTTTATTTTTTGGTCGTTTGTGGCCAAACTTTCTCTTCTGAGCGTTCGGTTATGAACGTTCGGGTCTTTTGGTTGTTCGGTCTCGTTTGGCCTCTTTTGTGTTCGTTCTTTAGCGTTCGTCCTTTCTGTTTCTTTACTTGGATTGGCTATATATTGTAGCTGGTCTTGGTTTTCTGGAAAAAAAAATTTTCAATCCCGTAATATTCAGATAATTTCTCTCTGCTTTTCTCTCTTCTCTCTCGTTTTTTCTGGTTCTCTGTTTCACACTGGAATCCAACATTAATTTTTGTCATATAATATGGTGAGGACCAACAACCAATATCACTAGACGTCACTCTAATATAAAAAGTCCAGTGAGCTCCAAAGATCTCTGGTATTGGTATTGGACATTATGTATAAATCGTTGGGAGCAAATTGGAAATTTTATGGCAGAAAGCTCTTGGGATCTTGACGTTGAGCATTGATTTGTATTATTGGATGCGAGTTAGAGTTTTCTTCCTGACTTGTTGGCGTTTGGCATCCTTCTTCTTGCCTTAGACGATACTTGTCAACATTTAGTTTCATTTTGAATATGCTTGTGAGGGTTGAAATATATTGAAATGTAGGAATTAATGATATAAATATGATATGTGGGTGGTATGAATGAGATTATTTCTAAGGGAGAATGCCATGTTGGATATTATATTATTTTGCATTGAGTAAGAGTTCAAAGAGTGAAATTATCTTAACTATAAATAGACTCACATAGAGGATGAATTTGAGGTGGTGAGAATTAAAAGAGGTTTCTATAGCAGAATTTGGTGTGAAATAACATCTTTTTAACTAGACTATAATTAACTAACCCTGTCATGAAGGATTTAAATATTTTAAAGCCAAGTGAAGGCATAACAATTGTTGTAATTTCAATATAAAATTACATGATACCTAGAACTTCGTAAATATTGAACTTAATGTATAAATATTTTGAAAGTCTAGTCTACAAGGACTATATCTTATTGTCTATTGATTTAGATGGTTTGTTATATAAAATTCTTGGATGGATGAATTTTCTTCAATCCTATTTATTGTTAAATTATATTGTAAATTTGATTAACTTGCCATTTTCTTATTATTATATATGTGTTTTCTTTTATTATTATATATGTGTTTTGTTTTGTTACTATTGCTTAAAAAAAATTAACAATGAAATCGAGTCTTATTATTATTACTATATTTTCAAATAATAAATACTTTTTAATCAAATTTAATATTTTAGTCTCTATGGCTACTTTTTTAATTCAAAATTATTAGAATAAAATGTATTTAAATATTATAGGTATTATATATAATTAATTATTTAGTTTTTATATATAAATCACTTTTTATATATATGTATATTTAATAAATTATTTTATTTTATTTATTTTAATAAAAGCTTATGTAAACTACTCTTTTGTTTAATATTTTAAACTAGTAGTAAAATTCCTCAATTAATCTACAACATATAACTGTTTTGATACACATATTTAAATTGTATAATCTTACTAAAAATTGTAGTGCAAATAATACGATGACTTTTTACCAATAATTAAACTCGGATTGTTTATGAAAACTATAAAGGATAAAGCAAATCATTAAAACGTTTTCTTTTAACCAGGAAGCTATAAAGTAAACTGCAACTGCAAGGGAATCCCGCAAATCACGATATATTTTAGTTCTAGATTATTCAAATCCAACTTAACTATAGTAGATTATTTATTTAAATACACGTTCATTCTAATTAAACCGTGTTTATGGTAATATTAGATTAAATCAACCTTGTCAGCTGATAATCAAAAAGTAGGTTTTGACCATCATCTAAAGTGAAATATTGCAGTTTAAAATGGCCGTAAAGCGTAAATTACGTGTATAGACTAATCTTTATTGTTTAACTATTTTTATTCAGAGATAGAGGATACTTAATCATGATTAATACACGTTTTACTTAATAAGAGAGATTTTACACGGAACAATGTGCATAAATATATAGTACATGCAATACATGAGGTAAAATGTACAATATTTTTTTTCGTGTGTTTCGTTACTGGAAGATTAGTTCCAGAATTCTTTCTACCTTGTTGTTTAAGAAATCATTATTGTAAATTTTTGTATAAATATTTATAAATTTAATTATACTATTAGCTTTTATATCAATTGTTTTTGTTTTTAATCAAATAATATTATAAAATGTTTTAATGTATCAAAGATAAATTTAATATATATGGTAAATATGTCAGATAATTATCAAGATTTTTTTTCAGTAATCCACAATAACATATATTAATATTTATCAAAGATGGAGTTATTTTGTCAGGAAACTATT